TCTCAGAACAGGCAAAAGAGAAGAAATACTGGTTGAAAATAAAGATGAAAAGTAATTAAATTATAAAAATTATTGCTTTATTTTTCTTCTTTGTCATTATCACCACCTGAAACATTACATATTTATGCTTATTTATTAACTCTCTTCTTTTTCCCAAAATTAAGTTCTGTGTAGGCAATCAGTAAATATTTGCTGATTGATGAATGTATGGATAGACAGATGAAGACCAACCAGACGTGGTTGCTACCACTTATCTGTAGGATAAATTACTCAACCTCTCTAAGGTTCAGTCTGCTCATCTTTAAAATGGAAGTGATGCATAATACATACCTCTTAGGATAGTCGTGACAAATGAAAATGGCAAGTAATAGGATATATTGGAGAATATGAGGAAGCCATTTTGTGTAAACCTAATTTGGCCTGACCTTGTCTTTCCAAAATGGCCTGACCAAGGCCATTGAGCATGCATTGTATATCTGCTTTAGACATTCCCTATGGCAAGAGAAAAGGCCCTTGAGATAAAGGTGCAACTTCCCTCCCCCTCCCAACGTTGGCATTTCTTTAAGGATTAAGCATCTTTCCTTAGGCTAGGAACTGACTGCTGCGCTCACCTGTGACCACCCAGCTCGAGACAATAGACCTGCCTCCTGCTACGCCCGCCCTCTGAGATAGCAGACCCACTACCTGCTGTGTCCATCAAGCACTGTGCCGACAGGGCAATGTTGTGACTATTGTGGGAGGGACATTTCAATCATATGTGAGACGTCCTGTATGGGGGTATATAACCACTCTGTATACCTCACTTCTTTGGTGCCCTTTCTTCCTTCGGGAAGAAAGGCCCCGGGCCATGGTCCTCAGATTTCAGCTCAGAATAAACTCTCCCAAATTTTCGTTTATAGATTGGTTATGAATTATTTTCGTCGACAGTCGTAAGATCAGATGAGAATAATACATATATGTGCTAGCCTGCCATCTAATAGGCCCTCAGGAAACGTCAGCTGGCGGAGAATTTCTGTCATGAGAGGTCATTTAAGAGAACAGATAAGCTTCTGCCCTGCATCATTTAATCCTTTATTTCACTAAAACTCCAGGGTTGAATCAGGTAATTTCCCAAGGCCCTTTCTAGTCCTATGACTCTGAGACAGGATTCCTTCAGAGATTTTTTCCACTGTCAGGGTAATGAGAAACGCCTTCAGGAGTGGCCCCCTCAAGGCTTGCTCTGTAGGCAAAAACCAGTTGGGAGAGTTTTATTGTCTGGATGTACTTCCTCCTGCAGCATCTGTGGTTTCTTTGGGCCGCGGTTAATGACAGTGAGTAATTCAACATGAAAAGGCCGCTGACAGATTTTCACCAAAAGACGCGGCTAAATAGCTACGAAAGGATTAAAAACCAATCTCACCACCCAGAGAGCCTGCAAGTCAAACACATCCCCAACTCAGCGATAATAATCAAAAAGCTGGAAATAGTTCTACGGTTTCATGGGCCCATAAAGAAAATATCGAGCAACTTCAGGCCCTCTGCCTTCTCCCAGCAGCTGGTCCGCCTGACGCGGAGATGAAAGGGTTGGCGATGGCTGATAGAGCAGGGTCAAGAAAGCTCGCCTAGGGGTAGAGTCTGCCTTTTTAGTGATTACTCTGCAGAGAAGGATTCCACCAGTGCATATTCCCATCAAAAGTCTCATTCCCAGGGCGACAAGTGGGATTGTTATCCATTTTTGGAGACGACAATATTAACTTTGGGAGCTTTGAAGAAACCTTTGTTTAGACAGAAATAGCTCGGAAAGCTTTTGAAATGCACCATCTGAAACCTTGGTCGGCTTGGTTATAGCTGGGGGACGCTGACTCGCCTGCGAAATGCTTCCCCCTGCCTGGTGGGTCTCTGCTCTCAAATTCACTGAAGGCTTAGGGCACTTGGAGCCAGGACGCTGAGCATTACCTTCAAGTGTCCAGGGTTGAAGTTATGTTGCCCACAGATCAAAACGTGCTAGGCCAAAGGAGCAAAGGTGCTATTTTCTTTTTTCTCTCCAGTCCTTGATCCATTGCATTTACTTTGTACCGGGTGCTGTCAAAGCTGTGCTACATGAGAAGAGTATTTTTTTGGGGGCCCCAGAAACCACAGACAAAAGGAAATTAATAAATTATTGAGCATCTATTATTTGCTGCCAGACGCTAGGGCAAGATGTGCTGCGTATATTATCATTATCTTATATAATAAACTCTGGAGAACTTTCCAGAGTTACTTATAGTCACCAAGTGATAAAATATGGAGTAAATACGGATATCATTTAAACTTTTGTATCATCACAGAGGAGATTTGTGCCAACTTTTTTTTTTAAAGACTTTATTTTTTTCCTTTTTCTCCCAAAAGCCCCTCAGTACATAGTCGTATATTCTTTGTTGTGGGTCCTTCTAGCTGTGGCATGTGGGACGCCACCTCAGCATGGCTTGATGAGCAGTGCCATGCCCACGCCCAGGATTCGAACCAACGAAACACTGGGTCGCCTGCAGCAGAGTGCGTGAACTTAACCACTCGGCCACGGGGCCAGCCCCTCGTGCCAACTTTTTAACCAAGTCATTAAAAACTGTTAACTCCGTGCTTTTGAAAGCAGACGGTACCTCAGGAACAACGCTAAACCCACAGAGTTACACTTTTCATACAATCCTCTTCTCATTTTCATCACCAGCATCCGCCAATGGCAGGCCCTGCCCCATCTTCCTCAATGACTTAAACACCTACCTTAGTTCTAACTCATTCTTTCCAACCCAGTTCATTCATTTCTCCAGTTCCTAGGACCTGCACCTCCACTTCAGATTCCACGAAGCCTTGTCACCTCTGAGTTGACTAGAACTGTTTTGCCTCTAAGATCTCAGGCTTAGAACTATCTTTGATGTCCCATCTTTCCTTCCATCTAATTTTGCTTCCATCATCCCAGCTCTCTTTCTCCACTCACTGGGAAGCATCTTGAATGGGCAGTCTTCAGCCAGACCTCTGCTTTCTCATCCTGTCCCTTCTTTGCTCTTATAAAGCTCTCTAGTGATCTTTTAATGGCTAAATCCAATGGGTTCCCCTCACACGTAAACCCCCTGACACCTCTGACTCACAGGATGCTGCCACCACTCCCTCCTTCTTATAAAATGACATCCTCCTTTAATTGCCATGATCTCATACTAGCCTGGTTCTCCTTCCAACTTAGTTCTCTTCAAAGACATTTCTTCTTTGGCAAATCCTTCAATGCAGGCTGGCGGCAGCTTTTTTCTCTTGTTCTCAGCGATATTCTCTCTGGGAGATCTCATCTATAACCTATATATGACTCTCAAACCTGCAGCTTTTCTTAACTTCCCTGCTGACCTCGACATCAGCCTTTCCAACTGCTTGTGGACAGCAGCAGCCTATCAGTATGTTAAACCCAGTATGTCCAAAACAAGACTCGTACCTTTGAAATCCACTGCGCTTTCTGTGCTCCCAATTTCAGTTGACAGGCACTCACTAGGGTTTTCTTTACGTCTTCCTCTTCCTCATCCCCCAACCCCATCCTCTGAGTTACCAAGATCTACCAATGCTACTCCCACGTCCTCTGCCAACCTATCCCTTCTTTCCCATTCCCACTGCCACAGCCTCAGCTTGGGCTCTCACTTCCTCTCTCAAGGATTGCAACACCCTATTGGCCTGCTGTTTGCTGCCACCCGAGGGATCCTCAACCACAGCCCTGAACAGCTCACCCTCTTTCCCAACCACAAACAAACAAAAATTTTTTTCAATAGTTCCCCATTGTCTAAAAAACAAAGTTCAAGTTTTTTTTAGCCTGGCCTTCCATAACCTTGTTGCAGCCACCACTTGTAGTCTCCTATTTACTCGACTTTTCTACTCTCTGAACACAGTTCTTGTGTTCTAGGCACCTCTGTTCCGCTTGGCCCCTCTGCCTGTAATTCTCATTCCATTTTCACCTGCCAAAGGCTGCCTTCCCAAAAGCCTTTCCTCCTAGTGTTCTATGCACTTGAAGCTAGAACCGCTCCCGTATCCTAATAGCATTTTTCATTTTGGACATCAATTACACCACTTGTACGTTTTTTCCTCATATTGAGGAGAAATGGGTCCATTTTCCCTCCAGATTGTAAGATTCTTCAAATTCCATTCAATAAAAAATTATAAAGCTAGGATTTCATTTTTATTTTTTAATTAGACATTGTAACAGCCACTAGGACTCAAAAAAGAGTGCACTGCAGACCTGAGGCTGGATCTTTCTAGTGGGAAAAGAGGATGCAGAAACAGAGCAGCTGTACTCTGTGGCAGGAAGTGGGCATGTCCGACTGACATTTGTTTCCCATAGTCTAGGACTCTGCACGTGCCAGATGAATGGCATTTTAGAACAGGAAGAGCCTAAAAGATCATGCAGTGTCATCTTCACATGTCCAAGCACAGGGAACTGAGATCTTACAAGGTAGGGACTCGCCCAAGATCACCAGGTGGGCGAGTGGCAGAGCTGGCCCAAGCCCTAGGCCAGGACACATTCTGCCATAGCCCCTTCTTCTTTGCACGCTGCGGACAGGGTTGGGGTGTCGCTGCAATGAATCAGGGTTATGAACCACAGGGAATATTCTAAAAGCAATAAAGTATAATGAATGGCTACGTCTGGGCTGAGTGGCCAAAAAGACAGGGAAGATCTTGAAGGACATGTAAATGTTTCTCCTTTCGTGAAGGCATCACGTCCATAAAACTCCCCTCACTCTGTTGCTTCTATATAACTTATTGGGAATTAATTTTGTTCTTTTTGGGAGTCTTCATTCACAGGAAAAGGGAAGGCTGAACTTTTTACAAGTTCTCATTCCCGGATCGGTGCTCCTCCTGTAAGTCATCAAAAAGGGTCTAGAAAAACTGCCCGATTTTTTTTTCTCTCAAGAAAATTACATGATTGTGATGGGATTTTATTATTTTTTTTTTCAAAAAGTTTCTCAAAATCATTGCCTTATTCTCAATAGGGCTTCAAACAAAACCACATTAAAAGTCTCTCAAGGCATTTTATTCAGAATAAAGTTCTTTAAAACTACCTTTGTCCTCTTCAGAAACCACTCCTCTCAGCCAACTATATTTATTCACACATTTTATACATTTATCTTAAAGAAGTAAGTGAAAATCTTCTTTCCTGCATTTAAAAGCAACTACATAGTCTGTAGCGATCAAACAAAATATACTCCTGTATTATTCTTGTTCCTACCTTAGGAAGGAGAACGGCCAGGTGTCTGCCCACGGCTGAAGCAGCATAAAGGGACGGAGAGTATTATTACTGCCCATGGAAGAATTCTAAAAAAAACCTCTCTCAAGCTTCTCGACAACTTGGTTAATTAGCCTCTGCTCCAACTCCGCTAGGAAGGGAACTGTGGGTGTTTTCCCACCTTTTCCCCCTAATTAGGAAATACATCTCACTTAGGCTTGCTTCATTCAAACCCCTCTCTGGAATAACAACCAGCCTGGAGACCAACATGGAGACCTCACAGGAGTGTGTGAGGCTGTAACCAAGCAATGGGCAAGAAAAAACAGCTGTTACCTCTTGCTCATTCAAACCAAAAGACTCCACCCATTTCTCAAGAAAAAGTAATCTGGTCATGAATCATTGCACAGCGTTTATCTGCACAGCTGGAAACAGCAGAAGTCCATTATAACTCATCGTTGCAAATATTAGTAATTATACGTTTTAACACAGATTCAGCATTCCACAGGTCAAATCATGTCCCCTAGAACCTTAAAATAGAAGGTAAAATGCAGTGGAATGTGGTTAGTCTGTCCTCCTTTTGAAACACTGAAGAAACCACACTAAGTCTACCTAGACATCCTCTTTAAGCAGGCTTTGCTCTCCGCAGAACCAAGCAATAGGACTTTCTCCACATAGTGATAACACTACTAATTTATCATTGCATAGTACCTTGCAGATGACCAAATTCCTTAATCTCCACTTCTCCTGTGAAATAGTACAGATGAGGAAGTTGAGTTGCTGAGAGGTTAAGTAACATTTGTCCCATCACCCAACTAGCAAATGACAGCAAGGGCGGGCACGGTAAGCGAGACAGGAAGCCTGGCCTCTGGGTCAGGCTGACTCTGGACTCAACCTCAGCTCAGCGTATCCTGGTAATACTAAGCTGGGCAAGGCATGTAACCTCTCTGAGCCTCTTTTTTTTTAACCCACACAATATGTGTAATACCCACCTCACAGATTTATGAGAATTAAATAGGACAAGATGTGAAAAGCACCCAACAAAACTTCTGCCATGTAAAAGATGTTCACTGAATATTAGCTTCCCTCAGTTGACACATCTGTAAAAAGGGGGTACAGGGGGCCACTATGGGGATTAAGTGAAATAATACCCTGAAATAGCTAGCCCTTGTTAGTTTTCCGTTCTTTTCCATTTCCTGGGCCCACCCCCACCCCATACCAAAGCTGCCTGCGTGGAAAGTGCAATTCAGCAAATTAAAAAATGATTTTAGAGAACGTTATCTATCACTAAGCATTTGATTTATCTACTGAGTTTGTAATTGTTTCAGAAAAAAGTGACCAGAATTAAGCATTTTTAAAAGACTGAGAACAAGCCTACACTGCAAGATAATTTCAATATACCGGGAAGCCCACCAATGATAAAAGTTTGAGAACGTACCAACCTCAGTCTATCCCATCCAACCATCTAAGCTTCCCTTTTTTTTTTTTTTTTTGTCACAGTGTCACTAATTTAACCAAAGGTTAGATAGAGTGAGAACTACAAGGCGGGGGATGCAAAGAAAAGGAAAATTTTTTTTAAAGGGACAAAGACAACTGAGAGGAAAAATAAGTTTTCATACAAGTCGGAGTTCTCTTCCAAAGAGATCATTAACACCAACACACGTTATCTGCTAAACGCTATGAAGTTCCCAAATGGCCACTTTTTGATAAAACAGGATCTATCAAATATAGGACGCCTTCTCTAGCACCAAATTCACATATTCAGTCAACAGCATGAACTGGCCTAGCAGCACGCTCCGGCAAATGTGTTCTCAGGTGTCAGCTTAGAGTCACCTTCACCCAAAGCACGGCGTCAATTAAATTTCTAACACAATTCCCAAAGGAAGGAATGCAGAAAACGCTCCTTTCTTTTTAGGGGCTGTCCTTTATTTATTTATTTTTGGAAAGCTCTTCTTCAGTTAAGGTTGATTTCAACGTTGATGTACATCATGTACCCATACCGCTTGACTGCGGGAAATTCCGTTGGTTATCGCCCTTTGAGGTTTTAGATGAATCGTTTTTAGAACGAGGCGCTCAGAATCTGGTACGGTTTGCATTTGAGCAGTACAGGAAAAGAATTTCCTTAATAAGCACCTTTGAGTTGCAGGGCACATAAACAATAAGGGAGGAGTGGAGGGAACCAACCAGAACGTCAAAATACCTTTTTTGCCCCTAAAACGCTCATTCCTTTCTCCTAAGATTCAGTCCTGGAAAACAAACCGGATTAAAAATGCAAACCACCTTCGGAGAGACCCTTAGACCAGGCTCCAAACGCGCGCCGTGCAGCGGGCGCGGGGGTCCCTCCGGGGTCCAGCGCCGGCTAGCTGCCCGCCTCCTCCGGCTCGCTGCACGGCGAAGGCGCCGACGACGCCTTGGACTCGCCGTCGCTGTTGCATTCGGCCCTGCGCGGGGGGCCGGCGCCCTCCTGGCCCCGTGCGTGGCGCTCCAGCAGCTCCTGGAGGTGCCTGATGTAGCCGATGGCGGCGCGAAGCGTCTCCACTTTGCTCAGACGCTCGCCCCCCAGCTCGCGCGGCAGGTGGTCCCGCAGGCGCGCGTAGCCCTCGTTCACGCAGCGCACCCGCTGCCGCTCGCGCTCGTTGCGCTTGCGGAGGAAGGCGGGCTCGAGGGCGCCGTCCAGCGGCGGGGGCAGGTAGGGCTGTCTCGGGGCGCAGCGCGCGGCGTCCAGTCGCAAGGAGACCCTGAAGGGGTCCCTCGGAGGGAGGCGGGGCATGGTCCCCGGCACGCCCAGGGGCACGGTGAGGAGGTGGGATGGCAAAGCCAGCAGGCCGGCCGCTTTACGTTTCTCCATCATTCGGCGAAAAAGCAAACAAATCACCCAAGAGATGAATCTTTCAGCAGAAAAGATGAGACTGAAAAATCTTCCAAGCGGAGATGCTGGTCCATTCAGACTGCCTGGTCTGTTTCCGGAGAAGTTTCGGGGTGCGGAAGCTAGGTTCTAGAACAGGCTTGAAGGAAACACGGCATGATTCCCTAAGTTCATTGCACTCCTGGATCTTTTTATAAAGATCCAGACGGAGGTGATCGGCAAAGATTTAGGACGCACTGATCCACACTTCGAACCTCGTCTTCCTCTCTGATCTTCTTATTTCAAAAGACAACAAAAGGAGTTCCTCTGGTCGGTTCCTTAGCCTAGAAATGTGAGCTCACCAAACACAGTGATCTTCCGAAGGCACCCAAGCTTTTCACTGACTGTAATCCACCGCTCTGGGTCTTCAGGAGCGTAGGGATCTTCAAGGTTTCAGAAGAGCTCCTCCCAGGAACCCACAGATCTGGCGGCTGGGCGAAAGTTTACCAGAGGCTTTCTCCTTGAAAATCAAAACTTGACTGCTCTTTGTGGTTTCCGGCGTCCAGGGCTAATGGGAAGAGCTTTTAGACTGTTTGCAAACTTACACTTGCTCTTTCATTTCTGGGGAGGTGGAGGGAAGACCTCATCAAAGGGAAGACTGCTCCCTTGTGGTTATAAGATGTGTCAAGTCAGGGAGGACCCCAGGGAAGGCTTGAGATTTTTATTCTCCAAAACCAAATGTTTTAAAAACCCGATTAGACATTATTTGAAGGGAACAGGAAAGAAATATACTTGAGCAACGAATATAAGGGTCCGTATGGTATGCTCCAACTTATGTTGAACGCAGATCGCTTTATGTATTTGTGCTACTTTTTAAGAGCACATCAAAAGACGCAGCAGTAACAGTTTTAGCCAGTTATTTCTCACCGTGCTTACTGTAAACACAGCTTAAACACTGCTTCCCGACCTCTTCTAATCCCACCCAGGATATAAGGACATCATCTGTCCATAGTGTAAAGAGTATATTTCTATTGTATTCTTTTTGTCTTAAAAAGATGCAATTTATTTTCTCCCTTGGGGGCAGGAAAGCAACATTTGAAAGGTGGAGAGCCCCAATTCTAAGGAGAAAGGATGATGGCTTTGAAGACTTGTCTTTTTAACACACAACCAAAAAATGAATAATTAATCCACCCGTGTTGGTAAAGGGCTTTGAAGATGAAAGTGTCATTAAAAATCCAACTGTACTGGTTAATGTCAAAGAATGTGTTATCACACTGACAATCAGATTTCCTGTTCTACAAACCAGCACATTAAAGGCAGGTTCTACTTTAAAAGTCCAACTTAAAAAACAAGAGAAGCAAAACCCCCCTACATTTAAGATCAGATTTTTCTGCCTATTCCCCAGGAGCCAAGGTGTCGTCCTAACATGTTGTTTTGACAAGTCCTAGGCTTCCCTGTTTATTCTAAGCGATCTGCCCGAAGCAACTGGAAGAACACTTCCATCAAGGCAAATAAAATAGAAATAATTATTCCTTTCAGGCATAAGTTAGTCACATTTTAGAAGGCGTAGCTCCCTATGAGGCTTGTACTGGCAAACGACCTAAAATGCCATCTTGATTTCTCAGCAAAGTTGAGATCAGAAGAAAGCCCCTCCTATTGGGAGAAAAGCCCACCAGAGAGGCAGGTAGACTGTTAGACACAAGGTGCTTCTTGGCCATCTCGAAGATGTTAGCCTTTATTCTGAGTGACGAAAATAAATGAAGTATTTTGAGCAGAGAGGTGACGTCATAAGATTTTGCTTTTTAAGTTCACTGTCTGCAGACTGGAGAATTGATTGGAGGGGAGCAAAAAGGAGAACAGTGAAGAAATACCATTTTTCATCCTCAGATTGGCGAAAATTAAAAAGATTGCTAACGTCCAGGGCAGGCAAGGATTTAAGAAGGGGCGGAAGCATAAATTGCTACCAGCTTTGAGGAGAATAACTATTGAAATGAATGGTACACGCTGCTATGCTTTGACCTGAGAAATTCCTACAATTTTCTTACAAAAATAAATGCACCAGTATGGATTTATACAAACTATAACATCTATTGCAACATTGTTTGTAGTGATTTTAAAAAGGAAACAGCCTGAATGTCCATCAATAGGGAAAGGGCTAATACTTTTAGAATATTATGCTATTATTAAAAATAATGAGCTCGAGCTATATGTAAGAACTTGCAGAGATGTCCATAATGTTAAGTGAAGAAAAGCAAATTGCAGAGTAACATATGCAGTGTGAAGTTAAAACAAACTATTCTACGTGATGTACATATCTGTATATGTGTTTGCCTGAGCACAGAGAGTGAAGTGGAAAGACTAAACTTTTGTCATTTGTTGTCTAAAAAGGGTGCCACTGGGAAAGGGGGGGTTGTTCATTTTTCTTTATGGATCTGTCTACTGTTTAACTTATCAGAAAAAGCTCGTGTTACTTTTGTATTTTTTAATCTAATGAAGTTTAAAATAATAAGGGAAAATTTATAGAAAACTCAAGTGACACCCTGATCTGACCCAAACCCACAGATTTATCACTATAATTTAAAGGTCCTGGACCAGGTTTTTTTGGCTTCTTATAAATTCTGTCTCTGAGGAAAACATATCTACAGGATATATATATTTTTTGCTACTAATACCACAATGAAAAATGGTCAGATCCTATACTGGTCTTTTTATAGGGTCCAGGTAATGTTATGATGCATCTACATGGTCATAAAGACTGCTGACAGTTTTTCATATACTTTTTCAAGGCACAAATGCATTGGAAATCAGTGGCTTTTCCAGGGAGAGAGGTACTTGTTTACTATGTGAAGGGGGCAGGCTCTGCCTTCCTTGTTAGATAAAAGATCAAAAGAGAACGTTCTGACTCGCACTCATTCTCCAGTCAGTTTTGACCCAAACAGTTCTCTCCCACTTTAAAGGCGTCTCCCGTAAGACTGGCTAGATCAAGTTACAGACACGCTAAACTGCCAAGGACACTTGGGACTAGGCTTGTGCAGCCCTGTTCGGATCTGCTTGTAAAAGTGGGAATGGGATTCACGAAGGATCAGGCTGTGTACATTCAAGGTCCGCCCTTAAAACTCAGACAGGTCTCCGTCACTTGCTTGAAACATGAGAGATGCAGAGACTTAAATTGGCTCTTCTTGTGAAATATTTGATATCACATTATAGATTTTGGTTTTCTAGGTTCGTGGCACAGGGGCGTACACACCCTTCTGTCCCCATACCTGCCATTTGCATCAGCGGCCACAAAGGAGAACAAGAAAGCCTATATTATCACCTGGCTAGAAAGAAGATTTCTCACAGGTGTAGTTGACTAAATCTCAAATTGATACTCTAACATGATTTTGTTCAAATTAGTCCTTGTCTCTATAGCTCAGGTATAAACTGTCTGTATTACCATGTGCAACATCCGCCAAGGGGCTTCTTAGGTGCAACTACATATCTAGACTCATGAGACTACCATGGGCCACATTTGGCGTCAGATTCGTTTGGAAGGGTATAGGTCAGGAAGGACCGCTTGGAGCAGGGCAGAATTAGGCGTTCTACCATCCTGGGAGTCCTTGCAGTAATCGCGGCAGCAATCCACACAGCTGCTCCTCCTCTAATCCTCGCTGCAGCCCAGTGACAGCTCAGGTGCAAGGAACGAAGACTTAATCAGACTGGTGTGGCAGCTGGCCTGACTTAGAAATCTCATACCCATCAGGAGCCAGTATTTCTTGTAACAACTTCACCGGCTTAGCTTCCAGGAGCCCCAGCAGAGCCCAGTTAAAGCCTTCACCCTCAGGGAAGCCCAAGGCCATCAGGTCTCTATAGTGCGCCAGGCCAGACGCAATTTACCAGCCACGTGATTGCTTTCATCTAAATACGTTTGCCTGACGACATAGTTGACATTCTATATTACGTTTCAGAGAAACAGATAAGAAAGTAAACTGAAGGTCAAATTGTCATGCAGTAGAGTAATTACATTCCATTTTAAAGATAATATAATTTACAGTGAGATTTAAAGAACCACAAATACATAGGTACAATTTATTAGCATCTTTTCTATTCTTCTCAAAGACTGTTTGCATTTTAACCTTGTCTGTGCAGTCTTTTGTCATAGAGAAATGTAAAATTTTAATGGAGTCAAATGCATTAATCCTTTCCTTATGATTTTTATCTTTTCTCTCTTGTTTAAGGCTACCTTCTTCTACTACAAGCTTTACAAAGCCTTTCATTGTCCATGAGGCAACTTGGTGTGAATTAGAAAAAGACACCAAACTCAAGGCTTGAAGAATGGATGCCAACTCTACAATTCATCTGGAAGAGCTGTTGAGGAAGGACGCCCAGATTTGGAAAAGAAGAGCAAAGGAAGCAACATGCATTTTTAATATCCATGAGGGAAAAAAAACCCTTGGGATTCGCATTGGGATTGTGTTAAATATACAGATTAATTTGGAGGGAATTGACATTTTGTTTAACACTGGATCTCTTTTATATGATCATAGAACTTATCTATTCATATTTTCTTTTTTGCCCTTTAATAAAGTTTCAGAGTTTTCTTCATGTAGAGCTTACACATTTCTTACGTTTACCTCCAGATGTTTCTTAGGTTTGGCTGCTGTTGTGAATAGAGTTTTTTTCTATTTTTCAAAGCTGTTGATTTATTCCATGTTAATCTTTAATCCACTCATTTCACTGATCTCTCGTACTAGTTCTAATGGCTTTTACTTGAGATAAATTCCACACATATATTAAATATATAATGCAATCAGTTTTGATAAATCTATACACTTGTGAAACAAGACCCTCTCAAGATAGTTCTAATAGTTATCTTTTAAAGAAGATTTTCTAGGATTTCTTAAACTGTAATATATTGTCAGCTAATAATGACAGTTTTCTTTCTTCTTTTCTAATATAACTCATTTATGTTTCTTATTGAATTTCATCGCCTGAGACCTCCAGTCCAATGGTAATTGTAGTAGGAATAGCTAGTATCCTCGTATTTTTATGGGAAAGTTTCCAATGTTCCACCATATAGGAGATATTCTTTGTCAAATTAAGAAAATTTTGTTCTTAGTTTGCTAAGAATACTATCAGGAATGGCTCTTCAATTTTATCAAATGCATCTGTGAAGATAATCATGAGTATTTTCTTCTTTAATTTATTATTGCAGTAAATTACAATAATAGATTTGCTAATGAGCTGTCTTGCATTCTTGGGATTAAACCCTATGGAGTCGTAATTGTCTTAATATACTGCTGGATTCAATTTGTTAATATTTCCTTTAGAAATTTTGTTCCTACAGTCCCAAGTTACGTTGGCTCAGAGTTTCATTTTCTTGTGCTCTCCTTTTCTGGTATCAGTGTTATTTCAAACTCTTAAAAATAATTTACGTAGCTTTACATCTGTTTCTAGGTTCTGGATACATCTGTAAAAGGTGGAAATTATTCCTTGAAGATTTGCTAAAATTCGTCCTAAAAGCCACATGGAACTTCTTTAGAGTTAAATTTTCAGTTACTTCTTAGATTTCTTTTATCATTGCTTTTGGGATTTTTCGAGGCCATTAGCAACGTTCTTATC